CATGCTTTTTCCTACAATTCAGTGGTTTATGGTTGCATTTGAATGTAGCTTTCACTTTAGGTTTTCAGTTATTTTTAACTACTTGGAATTTATTTGGCAAATACACGTTCATGTGACTAAACCCCTTTGCAGAAGAGCACCCAGCAGCAGCATCTGCGTTCTGGCATGTTTGCATTTGCATTCTGTCAGCTCCAGCCTCACTAATAGTACTAGTCTGTTCAATCGCAGCTGCCAAATGACACTTTAATAATCGACCTAGTCAGACGTGGTGGGTAAGAGATGCTACCTTTAAGGTAACAACTGCATGGCAGCCTGGAAAAGTTGAGGCTGCATTCCTGAATTATCTCAAGATACGACTGCTTACAGGGAAGATACTAAATTAGTATTGGATTGAGAAGTCAAGCTGGAAGTACAGTTTTCTTAAATTTGAGGAACTAGCAGTAAATGAGCTGCTTAAGCAACTAAAAAGTAGCTTTGCTTTTTAAAATAACAGACTTTTCCTTATTGTACTTCTGCTCTTTTTGTCAGTATCATTAAAATACAAGGATAATTTATTTCAAAACCTGAATTTGGAAATAAGGCTGAAGTCTGGATCTTTACAGCACTTACAAATAAGTTAAGAGTGGGGACTATGCTGATGAGCCAAACTTCAAGGAAAGACTTAACCTTCATTTCTGAGTTGTGTTTCATAGGTTGACAGTGTTTGTTTCCATTTTGGAATTTTTCTGGTTCTGGGGACGTTGCTTTATTGATATCAGACAAGCAGGGTTTGTTTTACCCCAAAGTAACTGGAGAAATACTTGCCTCCTAAGTCATACCCAGCTGGTGTGCAGGGGGCTGCTCTGTTCCTGGGGGGTTCAGGGACAGGAGGCATCTGCTGCAGGGCAGCGATGGGCGCAGCGGGGCTGGGAGTTCCAGCTTGGGGCTGGCTCCTGCTCGGCGAGGTTACAGGCGTAGCAGAGGTACACAGCTGTCCTGCAGTCTGCGTAAATATACAAAAATATGGAAGTCGACAGTGTTGAAATGAAAGCGTGTTAAAACTGGAGAGCCTTAATACCATTCCTTTCAAGCGCAAACCGTAGCAAATTGGCCGTGGAAGCTGTGTGCAGTGAACAACAGTGTGAAAGCTGCGAGGCAGGAAAACCAGTAAAGGAAAGCTGCTGATGAAGGATTCTCTAGCAAAACCGATAAAGGAACCTAGAAAAATCTAGTGTGTTTTGCAAAAAAAAAACAACCTGAGGAGCAGTTGAAGTGATACTCTGGCTTACCTACAGCAGTATACTTGGTACAGGGTCATCCACCTTTTCCAGATCAATCTTTTTTAAAGGATTAATATTTGTTCTGAATTAACACCACTGCATAAGAGTATCTGCTCTAACATTTACACGTGCACATATAAGCACTTATAGACTGACATATCTAATTCACAATGTGAAATAGCCGGTTTTAGTTTTAACCGTAAATAGTGGAGCGAGGGAAGACAGATGGGAATAATGGAAGCCAAAATTAAGTTGCCAGCAAAATTCGTAATATCAGAATGGGAATTCTGAATTGTTTTCAGGCTACTGTTGAATTCCTTTGTCCCTGTATTGGACTTGAGTAATGCCTCAAATTCTGTTTATGGTATTAAAGTATTAAGCCCTAGAAAAGAATATTCTAATCAAAGATTTTATTAAATAATCTAGATGTTTGACCTGCATTCAGTAGGAACTGTATTGGAAAGTTCAATGGTAAGGAAAAGGCATATGATTGGCCAACAATGTTGCTAATTCATAATCGTGTCTGTGCTAATGCCCACTACTAACCTGTCACAAATAACACTGCTTGCTTGCATTACCATTAGCGTGGCATGCGAAAGGAATGGCTGTTTGATGCTCGCTCTTACATTAACGTACTAAAAGTGTTGGAGACTAGAGTGTGTCAAGTTGTTCATGTTTTGACTGATCAGTTTCACGTTGTACTTCTTCCTTGTACAGAAAATCCTATCTAGAAATCCACGTGTTTTATACAGAGGCTCATTTTGTATTTGATGTAGCTGTACCACTGTTTGTCACAAATACTCCTTTCTTGTGTCACCTCACACTTTGTTACCTCCTTTTCTGATTCATCCTTCAGTGTGCAGTTGTGGTAGGGAGAATTTCTGTGCCTGCATCTGAAGTCGAAGCACACCTTTTGAACCTTCCTTTAAATGAAAGTCCAAAGGTAACAGTAGGTACCGTTAGCTATTAGGGAGGATGCAGTGCCTCTGCTTCTTGGCTCTGTGCTCGTCTCTTCTGAGGTCAAGCTCAGTGTGGAACATTTTGAGGAAGAGAAAAATGCGAGAAGGATTTGGGAACTCACACAATTGCAGTTTATTCTTTTATGTCGTACTGTTTCTGTTAACAAGAGTAAAGATGACTCAAAAAACAATCTAAAGTTTAAATCAACTGCCTTTAAAAGTATTTAAATTTTCATCTCTTGTAGCAACAGGGGTTACACAGTACAGTGGGGATAAAGGAGAGCTGCTGATGTTATGAAACTTGGTTTCATGGATCGGGGACTTTAAACACGTGAATGTGAGGCTCAGTGAAGAGGCTTTGTTTTAAAGCAGCCCCATTCATTATTTCTTTGTTACTACCAAAGGTCTGCTGAACAGTGATCACCTCATAGGTGCTACAAGACACTGGTGGTCCTGGGGTATAGCCCAGTAATGAGACTTTCCTAAGGAGAATAAGGGCTGGGGGGAGAAATCTGTTTGAGGGATTGCCCAGGTGATGGTGTTTAACAAGTCATAACAGTACTGATGGCTTGTTCTGTGCCTTCGGGTGATTTTGTTTACCACTGACGTGCTGTCTTAGCAGAATATGGTACTCCCCGAGACTGATACAAGACTGGGGAGAAAACGTGTAGTTCACACCTGGCAAGAAAAGGTGAACCCGGGCATCACGTTCTGGGGAAAGTTGCAGCAATACGGATGCAAACACTTAACTGCGTAATCAGTGTCAGGCCGTAAGACGGTGGAGTTCCAGCTCCCGTGGTTTGTAGTCGGTGGTGCTGTTAATCACTGCGCCTCGCGTGAGGCTGGCTGGGGGGGCAGCAGGGGAGCCTGCACTCAGACTTCAGTTCTGTGTCTGCTTTCACCTCTGCTGCGTCATTTGGCACAGAAACGTGCAGTTCGAACATTTAGAAAGTGACTTCTGGGCTAAATTTAAGACTTAATGCTTGAGAGATGAGTCACAGTCTTTATAGGATGCCTGTCTATGCCACCTATGTTTAAAAGCAAGGAATTTATTTGGATCCTTTATTGATTTAAGTGATCTGAATTATTTTCTGGTTGGAACAGCTGCTGGATTGCAGTAAGTGACGTGGTGGCATATTATAAATTAACTTTCCAAAATATTTTCAGTTACATTTTTTTTTTTTTTTTTTGAACTGTTACAGATTTTTCTGGTCTTATAACTACCAGGGCAGTCAGTCACCAGAAATGCAACATTTTGAGGTGGTTCTTGGACACCTCGGCTTGAAAAAACTTCCCCCCCACCCCCAGAAGAGGCAAAGAACATAGTGTTTCCTGTTATACACAGGAAAGAGGTTTAATCTGCATTTGGTTTAAAGAATTTTTTCCTCTTTTTGGGACAGTGCCTCTTTTTAGAAGCAATAAGAACACGTATGGTGTCAGAAGTCATAGGTGATGGTTACCTGGCTGCTGATTTAGGTGCCAGGTTTTCTTGCTGAGTGACCAGTGTGTTTTGACATGAAAGTCTGGAGTAAGGTAGCACTCTCAAGGAGCATTGAGGAATCTGATACTAAATTGTACCTGCTGTCTTCTGTTATTCAGAAAGCAATGTTTTTTTCTTTTATGTACAAGACTGAAAAAAAAAAAAAAAAAGGTATGTAGGAGAAGCAGCTCATAAGCTTTTTAGTTTGGCTTAGCCTTTTTATGTCCACGTGTGCACGTGCACATATGTGCCAGCCCTCTGTTTGAAAAGCCTTTGTTGCTCTTTCCTTTCCCTTTTCTCTCTAAGGAAACGCACCAGAAATGCTCTAGTGAGTGAACTGGCACTGTCCAGACCGCTAAACTTGCTATTTTGTTGTTTTTGTTCAGACTCAAGCTCCAGTATTCAAGAACCACTTCAAAACCCCTCTTCAGAGCTTCTTACGGAGACAGCGAGCAAAGAACTGCACAACCACCTCCTGCTCGATCTCGACAATGATACGGAAAGCACTGCTCTGTAACGGAAACTCCAGCTTTTTCAAGGTTCCTCTCCTGGTGGGAAAACTAACAGACCTAACAGTGAAAAGCTTCTTTTGACGATATGGCAAAAATGTGCAGGGTTGTGACTTGTGCATCACAGAGAAAGTGATTTTAGCCTTTCAGAAGAAGTTTAATGATCTGTGTCTCAACAATGGTTTTCCACATCTTGGATGGAAGGAATTAATTACTGCAGAAACTTGCATAGGAAGCATGATTGTCGCTAATACAGATTGTATTAGCAAAAATTCCAAAAGAATAAGAAGCAGAACCTTAGTTATTTAAAGTGCATGTATTACGAAAATAATCTTTTTAATGTCACGGTTAGACTTTTATTTCTAGTTCTTAGACATTACAAGGAGATGCCTTGCAAGAGACATTCCCTCACTGATTTGCTGCAGATTCTTTTTAAAACATGAACCAAAAAAATGCCAGAGTGCTGGTGGTGACTGCTGGTTATCAGTCACCTTGTCAAAACTGTGGATGTATTCTAGTGCCTTGAAGGACTGTCATACTGTAGGAGGAAACTTACTGTATCTTTAATCATTTCATTGCTACTTAATGATCAGTACTTAATACTTATTTCATAGATATTTGTATTAACCAAGCCTGCTTTTGTTTATGTGAAACTTGCAACTGTTTCAAGATGAAACTGTGGAAGTGTTTTTTGTGCTCTCATTGAAAATGGTTGAATTTTGAAAGAACTTTGAAACAGCTGTTTGGATTCGTCAGTTGGGTGAACGTTTATAAAATTAAAGATTGTCTTTTGTCAACTTAAGGCATCTTTATTCAAGTTTGTGAGTACCACTGCTTCCAGCGGACAGTGAAGGTTATGGTCGTTCCCTGGGCTTTGCAGCTCGGGAGTCGCTGGCTGTCAGCTGGTTCTTCTGAGGACTGGAGTGGAAGCGTCCTGGGACTGAGCCTGCATCTATTCTTTACTGTGTAGATTCACGTTAAACACAAGTGAGGTGAGCTGCACCGAGGAACGCTGGATACAGCCTCTATCACACGGAGAAATGAGATGGAACAGGCCACACAGTTTCTGCGAAAGAGAGGGGGAGAGGAAACTAGTCAATTGAGGTAACGTTCATATAACTAGCTGAATTCATTTACTTAACTTGTAAATTCCCTAATACTCCAGAGGACATTTTATTGAAGTTATTAAGCTAGACCTTGGGCTTAACTACAAACTAAACTGTATTTCGTAAAGGCCTTGACAAGACACATTGCATATACTATAGTTGCTATCTTCTTGATGCCCCAGTTTACAACCCCAGTGTTTCCTGTTCAGACATCCCTTAACAGGGAAGGTGACCCCCAGTAGTGGGTGTAGTCCTGCTCTCCTCTGCCACTGCACTGGCACTGTAACAAATTCTTGTAACTCAGAATTCAGTGTCAGGAGCCCCAACTTCTAGTTCTGTGACTACATTTGATGTTTAGCTCAAACTGTAGGCAGTGTACCTGAATCCAGGGCAGGTTGTGAAGGACTTAAATAAATTCTCAGAAAATCTTCTGGACTAACACATTCTTCAGCATTACACAAATAGTCAATTGCTTCTGCCGGGATTAGCAGCTCAGGTGCAAGCGTGTGTGCATTCTCATTTGTATCCTCAGTGTCATCCTTGATAATAAACAGCATATTTCAATACAGTTACGATAAGAGCACAGAGCCTATGATGCAGTTAAAGTTGGAAATGTGCCCGAAAGAGCAGGGCTGGAGGTACCCCCATTTACCCAACCCCCTGGTCTCCTCTGTGCCCAGGAGCGCAGCAGTGTAGGGTATTGGTTTCACCTGGCTTTAAGCTAGGTTGGTGCAGTTGATGGATTAGTCAAATAGTGGTACAAATTCACCCTACAGAGGTCTAGAAAGAACCTTGGAATAAAATAGTGTTGTCTTGTAATGCTTTAATACTGCTTCTAGAATCTGCTCAGGTGTATGTGCTTGTAAATGCTGCTTGAAACACAAGTGGGGCTGCTTGCTTGTGTAGTTTGGGGGGATTCTTGGGGGCGCGTTTCTTAGATCCCAGTTATTTGAAGTGTACCTCAAAATTTTGAATACAGTCTGCCAGTTTGAGTAGGAGGGCGAGGCACTCTCTGATCACCTCTGCTGTAGACTCCAATTGCATTGAGTCTTGGGGACGTGTCACGGGAGGCGTCGCTATTGCCACGTACCAGTCTGAGAACAGTCTGGCGGGGATGTTATGTGCCACCACTAAAACTTTAATTTCCTGGAGTAAAGCACTGTGTGGAAAGAGAGTGAATTCCATCCTAAAGTACAGCAAGTTCTTATCAGATGGTCAAGTTTCATAAACTGTGCAGTGAGTTGTTGTTTGCATTCCTAAAGCTATGCTGGAGGACTGTATGCACACAGCGTGGTGCACCCCTCCCACCCCAGCCAGCCAAAACCTTTTCTAATTGTGCTCCAAGGTACTGTGCGTGGGTCTTGGGCGGGCTGGTCAGATCGGGGGTGAGTAAAGAACAGTAGGGATTTAACAAGCAAACGCAGAGTGTGATGGTAGCTTGCTTTGATAGCAATTCCATTCACAGTGAAGAAAATGATGCAGCTTTCATGAACCTGGATTTCAGTGAATTAATACAGGGCCCTAGAGAAAACCTAGGGTTAAGCTAAAGACAATAATTGTCTGAACGCTGTGGGACTGGTTAGGTAGTGCTGAAAGGGCAAACAGCAGGCTGGAAGGCTGTGGCTAATGCTCTAAAGATAATTTCTGGCATTCCAGTACATACATCTGCAACTGTTTACAAAGTAGGGTATAGAAATACAGCCCATTCCTAAGGAGGGAATTTTCCTGTTGTCTAACACCTGTGAAGGCTGCTGACAGTTGAAGTCTTGGTGTCTTGAAGATGGGCTCCAGGGCAGAGACCTGGGGAAGAGCCTGGGGGCAGCGGGGCAGCTGCTGACTGTGTACAGGACGATGGGTCGTGGTAACCGGAAAATGCAGCTCCTCAGTGGTCAGCAGGTGTTCAGTGGGAGAATAAAAGCTTGATATAACTGTAGCTGACCTTCAGTTTAAGCTTAAGGAAGCATTCTACCATTTCTGTTAAAATTTTGTTTCATCTAAGGTAAGACGAAACACTTACCTATGAGCTTGATTTTGGAGAGAAGCTAAATCTCGGATGATGAGATGGATTGTGCTACTGCAAGACTGCAAAGGAAATGGTAGAGTTCTTATAGAATTGCATATCGCAGACTAATTTGTGAACGTAAAAATAATTCATCAGCTGCCCTACATGGGCTTTCCCTTCTCCCTTTTTCCCTTACCTCTACTACATGAAAAATACAGCTGGGATAGAGAAGTAGCACACCTGAGACTTGTTCTCCTGAGTGGTCTAATGCGTTTTCAAACAATCCTTGGTGATAACCTTGTTTCGAAAGAAAAACTGGTGGTTTGTTAGTTTATATTGATGCTTCCAGCAAGTCAGTGCTGCGTGGTCTGTCCTGTGTTCTCTCAGTTGCCACAGGCAGCAGATTCACAGATCAAGCTTTTATTATTCAGAAGAAACACGGCATCGCTGCCACGGGAAGCGCTTCCTGACACATGCAGCAGTGCAGTTCACACTGGCTCCTAAAGCTCCACCAAAACCTGCCCTGATTCAGTAGCTGAAGTCTAAAATTGCCCTTAGTGTTTGTTTACAGCAGTTCTGCTGCTGCTGTAGCTGGATCACCTGAAGGCCCCAGCTGGGGAGCACCGCAGCAGCGTTCGGAGCCTTGGCTCCGCTCCACACTGGCCCTAGCCTACAGCTAGCGTTTAAAAAAAAAAAAAAAAAAGTCTTAATGCATCTCATTCATCAGACGAAACATTTGGTATACATTAGTTGCCTGAGAAAGTCGTGTGTTGAGAAAGTCATCGAGTTGGTTGCAAAAACAGTATCAGGCTTGAAAAACGAATTCTCTCTCCCTCAGGGTTTCTCCTAGTTGTGTTTCATTTGCTTAGGAAGGCTTCCCCAAGTGACAATTCTCTTTATGTGGTTTAACAAAATTGTATTTTTGTATTTTATGGGCTGCTCCGAGGCTTCTGTGTATCACGGCTCCGCGCGCACGCAGCGCCCTGGGCTTCTCTGGGTCCCCTGTGCTGCCGCCGCGCAGTGTTTGATGGCACCGGGGGGCGAGGAGCCCGAAACGGGGGCGCGGGGGGGGCCGGGCGAACCCCCGCCGCGGGGCCGGGGCCGACGGCGGCTTCGCCCCTGCCCCGTCCCGGCCGCGACACCCACCTGCCAGCTCCGCCGCCGCCGCCTCGCCCCGCCGGGCCACCACCAGCAGCCGGTGCAGCGGGAACCGGCACTGCGGGGGGGGGAAGAGGATAAGGGAAGGGGGGAGGGAGGGCAGGGGCGCCCCGGCCGCCGCCGCGGAGCCCCGGCCCCCCCGCCGCCGCCTCCCCGCGCACCTCGGCGGCGCGGCCCAGGTGCTCCCCCCTCAGGGACAGCAGGTCCCGCCGCCCCAGCGCCGCCGGCTCCGGCCTGTCCCGCCGCCCCGCCGCCGCCATGGCGGAGCCCCTGAGGGAGCCGGCGGAGCCCGCCAACGGCCCCGCGCCGCCCGCGAGCCCCTCACACCCCGGCACCAGCTCCGACCGGGCCCCCGGCGAGGGGGGGGGGGGGGGGGGACAGGGCAGCACAAGGCCCCGCTGGGGACGGAGCGTTGGGTGACCCGTGGGCCCTTAAGCCCAGCCGGGGGGTTTGGGGGTGCAAGCGCCTGGCTGCGGGGTGCCCGGGGGGGGCGAGGGGGGTGCTGCCGGGGTTTGGGGCTGGGGGGGGGGCGCTGGGTGCCGGGGTTGGCCCGGGCCGGCCCCGCCAGCCCGGAGCAGCCTTAACCCAGCAAGACCTCGCCGAAGCATTAATTGCGCACCCCGGCCCCAGGGAGGGGGCTGAGGGGGCACGGCTGAGCCCCCCCAGACCCCCAAACTCCGGGCCCTGGGAGACGTCCCTCACCCCCGCGGGTGGAGGAGCTGAACCAAAGGGGAACCGAGTGCTTGTAGCTGGTTAGAGAGGCAGAAATAGGAAGAGAAGCCAGACTTCCTCAATTCCAGGCAGTGCTCTAACCCCAAAGAGCTTCATTTAATATTTAAAACAACCGAACAAACCTCTTCCGCCTAGCTGCCTCCCTTAGCTCTTGCCACCCGTCTTCTTGTTGCCAGTTCGGGTCTGACAGTGCCAGTGCTGAGCGCTCAGCACCTTTCGCAGCCAAGAGCCCCCAGTAGAAATAAGGAAAGGATTAAGGGAAAAGGTCTGTCTTCTTAAATAGAGAAATAAAATTTAGAAAGCATTAAGAATTACATTAACCCTCCGCTAATCATTATTATTTACACCGATTAAAATTAGTTGGTGGCATCTGGAATCGCATAGCCAACTGCTATGCGAAGTAGGCCCAGAGGAAGAGCCCAGCACATACACATAATAGCAAGTTGATGTTCAGGACGTGTTTCACCAGCGGTGTCTCCTCCAGAGGAGCCACGGGAAGCGGCTCGGGTTTAGGCGGTGCCGCGTTCTCGGGGTTTTCCTGCTTGCGCTCCATCCCGCAGAGCCACAGAAAGGTGGTCAGCAGCTTCGAGTTCCCTTTGGCGTCAGTCGTACCTAAAAAGACAGCCAACAGTGAGGTCTAAATCTCACCAACAAAACAAATCCCAGGAATGTATCAGTGTGGTCCTGTACAAAGGGTTTTGATGCAAAAACGCACCAGCATTCTTTACGTGAAAACACTAGCTACGCTGAGGTGTAGGAAGCCCTTCAATCAGCATCTTTTGGGGCTGTAACACCAATTTCATCCTTCCCTGGAGCTCTGAGCTCAAGTTCTGCTGTTCCCAACATTTTAAGAAACGAAAACAGTAGACCAAACCTAAAAGCTCAGCTGTAGCTGCTTGGTGCCCATCAGCTTCCTCTTGCAAGTGCGTGCTTTAGTCCACTTAAGGTTACCCCACGCCACACACGTGTAAATTGAAATTTCCCAGCTCTGGTGTGGGTTAGGGCGTACATGACTAAACGCTGGGAAGAGAGCGCTCGTGCACAGCAAACGTGAGACGCCCCAGCAGTTGGGAGATCTGCACCATAACTCATTAACTTACTGATCTTTTCAACAGCTTTTTATAGATCAAAAGAGTACACAGCAAAAGCTGCAAAGTTACATAACAGTGTCCCAAGCCTGGCAAAAACAATTGATGATAATCATCGCTGGAAAATGCAGAATGAGTTGCTATGCGTGTTTGTACCTAATACCGACAAGTACAAGTTTTAAAAAATGTAAATCCTCCTTCACTGATCTGTCAAGAACTCCGCCCAGGGCTCTGGGTTCTCCCTGCTGCTAGAGTCGATCAGAAAACATCACTGAAAAACAGAAATGGAATTTCATGAAAATAATTGTGGTTTTCCTCCACCCTCCCCTTTTCCAACCAGTTCTCCTTGCAGCGTGTGCAAGCAGCACCAGTCACTAGTGCAGGACAATGGGCATGGCTTTCTGTATCCCATCCAGCTCCTTCTTGATTTCAAGCATATGTAATGCCATCAGCAGATGGAAAAGAAACTAAATTTCTGCTTAGGTAAAACTGTCAGGTAGAAACCTTCTAGCATGCCCTGAAGTTACAGAAATCCAGAGGAAGTAGTGCTAACGTTTCTCGTCTTCAAAGCCTTTACATAATGCCTAGGGTTGTTAAGTGTAGGTATTACTGAATATGATGTTGGAGCACTTACATTTGTTATCATTTGAACTATTTTCAGTAGCAATGCTTATATCAATCTGGAGAGCTGGACGCTCAGCTTCACACACTCCTTTTGCAGCTTCAGGGGAAGGGCTGACTGCTAGGTCTTGCTTGACTGGTAGATCCCCACGTGTGAACCAGGTAAGCCGACTTATCTGATGGCATGAAGAGTGGTGTTAAAGACAACTGCTTTCATGGTTGTTTAAAGGAGTACCTGAGCAGTAGAGCAGCCTGCAGAGAGAATACTTAGAGGGGCTGAAATCTGTTCTCCTGCTCTCTTGGAGCGGGTGAACAGTCAAGTGCTCAGCTGGTGACTACAGAAGCGATGGCTAGCATCGGCGTGCTGCCTTTAGTTTTGTCTGGAACACGACAGCCGTTGGCACAGCTACGCTCTCCGAAGGACGGCATTCTTCACTCTCCGCTGCCGAGGAGGAGACATTTCTGCATGGGCCCGTCACTGGATGCAGGCTGAGAGCGGGTCAGTGAAGGGAGCAAAAAGAATGGAAACTGTGGCCAGGGAGGAATGACTCAAAGAACTGGGGTTGTTGAGAGAAGAGAAGGCAGGTGGGAGATATGATAATTTTCTTCAAATGTGGAAAAGACTCATTAAAGAGGAATGTTCTCAATATCAACGATAGGGCGGACAGGAAGGGATGAGCACAACATGAAGCTGGAAAGATTCAGGTTGGAGATGAGGAAAAACTGCTCCCGGGAGGGGCAGGTGAGCTCTCAAATTGATCACACACCTCCCTGGGTATCCTCCCTCTCTGGGGATTTCTAAGAATAAGTTCCCCAGGTCCTTCAGAAATGTGTCGGGTTAGTCCTGTCTTGAAGCAAGAGGATGAGTTGGCTGTATGATTTCTGAAGGTCCCTCAGGCCCTCCTTTCTGCTATTAATGTTTTTCTGTAGCCTCAGTATATCTATTGAAAATAGTCAAACTGGCACAAACCTGTTCCAGAGGAAGTGTGCTCTCTGCCCTTGATTTCTCTTTTCTGCGAGTAAAAATGGTTCCTCACTAAATTAGTAAGAGAGTTGATAAAGATGACCCAGAAGCTGGAATTTCTTGGAAAATAGAGGGAAAAAGCTAATTTGTCATGAATTAAACACACGTGTTTGAACTTAAGAACAGCTCTTTGTAGCATCTACTGTTGACCAGTTCCCAGGGTGGGACTCTGGATTTATGGGACCAAAATCTTAAATGGCAGCAGGCTGCTGGAGCAGAGGAAGGATTGCTGTTACAGGCCATTGCAAGCCTGATCATAAATAAAGAATGAATGGAAACTTCCACTTCCAGATTACTTATCCCCACATTATTCCCATGGAGGTAGTGTGGGGCATCCTGGAAACCCTTTACAAAAACAAAAAGAAGAAATCTGAAGGGGTGACGCACCATTTCTTCCGCGGGGGGTTCTGTGAGCATGCTCACGACCAGCACAGTGAGCGTGGAGATGGCGGCCAGGACCATGGAGAAGTAGAGATAGTGCATGTATTTCACCACGCCCGGCCGGAGGTCGGTCTCACCGCACTGGGGCTCTGGGTAGATGAAGTCCAGCACCAGCCGAATGACGCCCAGCAGCAGCCCGATCGCCAGGCCCCAGAACGCGCCCTGGGAGAGGGTGTTTGTTATTGGAGCATGAGTCGTGGAACGCTTTGGGTCAGAAGGGCCCTCAAAGCCCCCCCAGTGCCCCCCCCTGCCCCGGGCAGGGCCCCCTTCCCCCAGCCCAGGGGGCTCCCAGCCCCGTCCAACCTGGCCTTGAACCCTTCCAGGGAGGGGGCAGCCACAGCTGCTCTGGGCACCCGGGGCCAGCGCCTCACCCCCTGCACAGGGAACAATTTCTGCCTTAGATCTAACCCAAATCCACCCTCTTTCAGCTTAAAACCCTTACCCCTTGTCCCATCCCCACCCCCTGACCCAGAGTCCCTCCCCCCCTTCCCTATCCCCCCTTTAAGCCCTGGGAGGCCGCTCGAAGGTCTCCCCGGAGCCTTCTCTTCTCCAGGCTGAACCCCCCCAACTCTCTCAGCCTGGCCTCCCAGGGGAGCTGCTCCAGCCCCCCCAGCATCTCCGTGGCCTCCTCTGGCCCCGCTCGAGCAGCTCCGGGTCCTTCTGCTGTTGGGGGCCCCCGAGCTGGCCCCAGCACTGCAGGGGGGTCTCCCCAGAGCGGAGCAGAGGGGAGGTCTGGGTGCATTTGTTCTCCCAAACGCTACAAAAGGCGGCAGAACTGCAGCCTGGGGTGGTGGTTTGACCCGCAGGACCCTCCTGAGGACAGCGAGGCCAGAGGCGACGGTGCTGAGCACGGCGGGGTCGTTACCTTTTCATTTGCTCTCTTCCAGAAGCAACCCAGTATAAACACCATTGCCACGGGGGGCTGCAGGTAGGAGCTGATCGACTGGATGTAAATAAAGAGCTGCCCGCCCTGGCCAGCCTGTACCAGTGGGATCCACAGGATGGAGACCACGGTGAGCAGCAGCACAAAGACCCTGTGCACGGAAAAAGATGCCATTACTGTTAGCTCAGGCCCTTCCTTTCCAGCGGCAGCTTGCAAGGCTCTGACTGAAATGTGCCTGATGCTCAGGCTCTGATAGAATATGCATGTCCTAGTTCTCCGTACCTGCCAACAATCATGAGTTCCCACTCGGAGCAACGGGGACGGAGGTGTTTCCAGAGGTCCATGGTGAAAATGGTGCTGGCACTATTAAAGATGGAAGTCAGGGAGGACATGAGAGCTGCTATCATCACGGACATCATCAGGCCCCTGAGTCCTGGAAACAGAAGTACAGCCACGCTGAGGAATCCCCAGTAACCCCACTGTAGGATGTCCTCAAATTCTTCTTGGAGCTAGAACAGACTTTTAAAAATGTCTTTAGCCCCTATTTTAAACTGGCAGTAATAGGGAGGTGTTAACAGTTAATTCTCATTGTTAAACATCTGCGATTTATCTCTTACCCAAATTCGACTGAACTAGACCTCTGAAGAGTGGATCATCACCCGTCTCTCCTTTTGCATGCTGTCCCTTGCTGCTGTCTCACCAAAACCAACATAAACCCCACTGAAATTACAGTTGCAGGGCATTTTCCTCTCTGAGCTTCTCTCACAGGCACCTTTTGGCCAGCGCGTACCGTACCCATCAGCGCCAGCAGAATTGCCAAGCTCCTTACCTACAGGCAGAAGTTCGATGACCAGCTTAGGATAAGCAATATCGGAACAGCCAGACGGGTTGCCACAGATTTTTCGGCAAATTTCCGCATCAGCACAAGCCACCAGATCTAAAATAAGCAAAGGGGGAGCGAGAGGCAGTATTCCATTGCCACCGCAAACCGATATATCTAAACAAGTTAGTCTACTGAATGTTGGAAATTGCCTTCTAAGGGAAATACTGGGAAGTTTGGAAAGCGTCCAGCAAAGGACAGAGGACTGTCTCAACACAGCGAGAAAGGGCAGCACGGGGCTTCCCTGTTTTCCCTTCCACGCAAAAGCCACGACCAGTCCGGGCGGCTGGCCTGCCTTGCACGTCTAAGACTTCTCTAGGAGCGTTGCCCACCTGAGGACTAAGGCTCTCCCCCCGCCTCTGGCACAGCTCCCCACGGGCGAGCGCACCCACCCAGTCCCACGCCGTGAGCAGTGCCGCGGTCAAGGTGGTGCCTCTGGATTTCAAGCTTAAGCTGCTGGGGGGGGGGGGGGGGGGGGGGGGGCTAAGGGCACAGCAAAAGCAGAGCGGCTGCGGGTGGCGAGCTCCCAACAGCTCGGCACAGCTGCTGGGGGACAGGACGCCAGCCCCCCCCCGGCACCGTGCGCGGAGCAGCGCCTGGGGCCTGCTGCGGGACCACGCGCGTGCTCCAGTTTATGTGCCCGGAAGAAAACGGCTCCATGCTTGGGGCATTTGACACGTTGCAACCTTTAACTTATTCAGGAAAGGCTGTTCTGGCTCCACTGGGTTGGCACAGCCAGTTGTGATAGAGGGAACAGATCTCTCCTTCGGCACTTACCTGGGAAAAGTATTCGGCTGATCATGCCTGGCATTACCATCATAAAGAGGGGCAAAATTTTCAAGTAGGAGGTCATCAAGGAGCCTCCTTTGGCATGAGAGAGGTTTTTAGCAGCAAGGGACCTCTGAACGATGACCTAGAAATTAAGAAATGTGTTTGGTGTGCTGTCAGCAGAGAGGAGCTAGCTGTAGATGATGCGATACCAATTGCATTCATGTGTATATATACTCTGTTCTCCTCTAAACTATTGAAATCTTAGAAGGGTGAACACAGAGCTTGGCTGTAGCTTTATAATTCTTGCTTCAGATCCTGAGCACCTTACAGAAACATAGACCTGAAAGGTCATCAAATCTGAGCCTTGCTTCTGCAGCATAGCATGCTGCACAATCCGTTCCTTAACTAATCAGACTAGGCTTAGAATTTTCTTCTTCCTTTGCTGGGGACTTCCCTGACCTGGTGGCTAAGCCCGGCCAGGTCAGCAGCTCTCCTGTCAAAGCAGGACAGTCTGAAACGAGCAAAGGGAGTTAAATAAGAGAGTGCCGCGGGGTCATCAGGAGGTTGCTTAGGGCTTCAGTCTTCCTGGCTCTGGTGGTGTCACTAGGAGGGATGGTGGTCAGACCCTGGAAAGTTGAAAGAGTGAATTCACAGGTGGTTCACAGGAAGTGAAATGCTTAAGTTAAAAAAACAAGCAAACGAACAAAAAAACCCAATGTTTTTTTAAAAAAAAAAAAAAAAAAACAAAAACAAAAACAAACAAACAGAAAGAAACAATAAGTTAAAAAAAAAAAAAACACACAAAACCAAATCAAAAACAACAAACAAACAAACAGAAAACATCTTTATAGACTAGGATTAATTCACATTAATGCATTCTTACCCCATTTTATGTTGAAGTGATTCCCAAAATTTAGTTGTGCATATCAAGCTTTGCATCTTTAGGATTGAAGCCATCAGACTGTACTAAATTCCCACCAGAAATAGTAAACCAGTCCAGGCTACGTTGCAAACCCTGGCTTTGGAACCAGGTTCAAACAACCAACAGCATGTTCTGGAAGCCAAAGGAAGAAAAAAGCAGTAGCCCACCTGATCTGTACACCAGTACCACAGGGACGGGATGGTCATTCCCACCAGAACTCCCGGCCAGGGCAGGTCAGAGTTAACAGGGTCTCGGAAAATGTGAAAAGCATCTTCTCTCGGCAAGCCGCAGCTACTGTTTTCCTTGCGTGTGCTGGGAATGGCATCGAAGTATTTTGTCTGCAAACCTTCAAGACCGCCAACTTCAACAAAGCCTGAGACAGGTCATGAGAAGCAGTTATCACATCTTCCCGGGTCACTACTCTGATTTGCAGTCTCTGCAGTTTGCTATGGGTGATCCTCCACAACTGTTCTTTAAAAATCAGAAGCTACTGGCTCCAACATTGAGGGGGGGGGGGGGGGGATAGCATAACGCTAAAAGTGCTGGCTAGAGAAGGTGCTCGTTCACCTGTAATCCTGCTCCAAACGTATTTCTTTGGAGATTTTTCAGGGAGTACCCCTGGCATTTTTACCACCCAGAGAACTACTGTAAGATTATTTGTACAAGCATATATTCCAGCAGGATAATATCTAGAAAGCAGTTCCCAGAACACCAACTGAGTAATCAGTTGTGATGATCCAGCTTGTCTCTGGTAAAGCTCCTATGACAGTTTCAGTAATAAAACCCCCGGGAAACACTCACTGAAGACCATGAGAGTCACGGCCCCGATCAGCATGATGAGAGTTTGCAGAGCGTCCGTGTATATCACAGCTGCCAGGCCACCTAAGAGAGCAGAGAAGCAGCAAACTGGGGGAAACGGGGTTTGTCCTGTCGTCGCATCTCACACTCTGCAGAAGTTTTTGACAAGCGGCGTAAGCCGAGCCCCCTGCCTGGCGCCTTCCGACCGTGTTGGGGGGCAGCTCGGCCAGTTCCCGTGCACGACACTTTGGCTGAAATTTCTCATGGTTTGAATCATAATGAGTCACCATTTTGCCACTAAAAAGCCAAAGTCCAGTATAAGTACTTCTACGGGAAATACATGGAAAAACTCCAACACAAAGCCCAAGATGAATAAGGAGGCGAATAAAAAAAAAAAAAAAAAAAGGAGGGGGGCAGGGAGGGGGAAAGAGATCTTTATGAGCAACATCACTAGGGGTGAGCACTGGGAAAGGAGCAACCTTTATTTGTTAGGGATTTGCTGCTTACTCCGTGCATGGCTTTTTTCCACTTGGCCACTCATAAGCCCTGAAAGGGCATCCAAGATTGACAATGCTTTCCGCATTACACGGCTCATTGTTATGGAAATCACTCATACCTCCGAAAAGCCCGGAGGAAAAAATGTATTGTGCAAATGCCCCGGGCACAGCTTCTCCTTAAAGCAGCACGGACACCCATCCGTACCTGATACGGCCTCATAAGGGGGATTCATTTGCTCTTACGTTGTAAATTTTCCCTAACAGGGGAGTTGTCAGGTGCTCCCCCACCCCACCCCACCCCATCATCCCTACCCGTGGCAAACCCAAACTGCGCGGGAGACGCGGGCAGGGGGACGCACGGCACCGCTCAGCTCTGCGGTGAGGTCCGGCGCTCAGCCACGTACCCGCGACCGTGTAAACGGCCGTGACGGCCAGCAGGCCCACCACAGCGACGTAGAGGTCCCAGTGCAAGGCCTGCTGAATGAAGAGGGCCCCGGCGTACATATCCACCTGGGGAAAAAGGACGGTTATCGCCGTTGCAGCGACGCTATTCCGGAGCCCCTCAAAGCTGGTAGTGCCCGGGAGCGCGAGCAGTTTAGCCGACCACGCCGTCTCCTTCAATGGGACCCGCCTGGTTTGTAACTGGTCGTGACCCCGCAGCTCCCTGCACCGTCCTCTCCGCCTGGCACGTCCTCTGCGGCAGGACCAGGCTCGATTTGCTATTTAAACCCTTTATTATTACTGGTCTCCCCGGGGCGGGGGGGGGGATGGCAGCGGCGATGGAGCTGTGCAGGGAGCGGGGCAGCACGCACAGCTCGCTGGGGAAAAGGCATCGGGGTGGGGTGAGCTCGTCTCCTGCCCCCAGCACCAGCGGGGCACCGCGGTGCAAACCCCCCCACCTTGGCTGCCCCCCCGGCCCCGGTCCCTCCCTGCGGACACGGTGACGGCGCGGTAAGGAGGAAGGGTGTCCTCGGGGCCGGGAGCCGGCCCTGACCGGCCAGCTCCGCAGCTACGTGGAAACGCTGCGGTTTAGGAGAGTTTTAGGACAAGCACACCACGGAACGACAGACAGGTACAAAAGCATCCCGAACGCGGCGGGGTTGTGTTATTCCCATCCCGTGGTTGGTTTTTCCCAGAGGAGAACCTGAGCCCAGCGCCTCGGCGCCACCTGAGCCCCCCGACTGTGTTCCGAGGGGACCACGGGCGGGTGTCAGACACCGCGTCCCGCTTTGGCCCCGTACGTCCAGGAAAAACACCAGCGGGGACCCGTCTGACTTCACAGCCTCACGCACTGCCGCACCGTTAATAAACAGCTCAGGAGGTGTTGCGCAAGGGTTGGTTCGGTTATTTATTCGAGGCACTACATCAAACAGGTGCAATAAATCGCTAAACACTTTCCCCCCTAAACACAACCCGACTCCTACGTTCTTATTCACCCCGCACATACCAGCACTTGCTGCCTGCACGGGCGATAAATATGCGAAGGAAAGAAACTAGGTAAGCTGCCAGACGTACAAAATCTAACAACAGATGCGTCCACACTCGCAACAACCTTTCAATGAGCTATTGCATTGCCACCTAGCTTTCCCTCCTACTGTAGCAAGCGTTCAGATGCTTAATCGGAAAAAAAAAATAAGCTGTTCTTTTGGTGTAGGTTCTCAAAACAACTGTGGTCTACCTTCCTCAGGTGTTTCGATTATACACCCTGTCCTAAGGGCTAGTGGTTGGATTTCTCAGCCTCGCTGATTAGCACCTGTCTCCAAAGGGAGGTGAATTCAGCCTGTTGCCACTTTTTTCTACTTACGGATATTTTGGTGAAGATATAGATGAACAAGTAGAGAATCGCCAGGAACATCTGAATCCTTTTGCCTCCGAAACGTTTCCGCAAGTACTCCGGCATGGTAGTAACCTGCGCGGGAGACGCCCCGTCAGAGAAGGCGGCAGGCAGCCGTGGGGCGCGGGGGGCTCCCCCCCCAAAGCCGGCGGTTTGTACTGGCAGGAGACCAGAGGGGCCCTGCTCCTCTCACCGCGCTGGTATTTGGTTCCCCGCTGCCTGCTTAGGCCGGCACGAGAGCTTAGCAAGCACTGACTTTGCTGCAATGCCTGGCGCAAGGCTCACTGTAACCTGCGATACAAGAGCCTCCATCCACCCCCTCAGGAGATGCAGCGACCCTGCCCCGGTGCTGGGGTAGCAGAGGGGTCTGACCCCCCCCCCCCCCCCCAACCCCTCAGTGCTGTTCCTGGGCAGCAGCTCCCCCGCCTTAACCCAGGCCAGCAGCACTGCTGGGTGCCCCGTGGCTCGCACCCCGCCTTCCAGAAGCAGCACAGCAGGAGATGGTTAAGCCCTTAAGCCAAACAGGTGGTTTAAATATCAGCAAATCATTGATGGGCACAACAGCCCATCGACTTACCCCTGCTGCTATATAAATTGGAAGGAAGAGCCAGGCCAGCACCAAAACACAAAACATCCCCTGCAAAGCAAAGGGAAAGGAAGGTCAGAGGTGGTGGTCAAGGCTGGGATCAGGGGGGACACGGGGTCCGGGTTACCCCTCTGAGGCTTCAGGGATTTGTTGGCCCGCGCAGCCGGTGTGGGAGCCGCCGGACCTGTGCCCTTGTGTGGCACCTCCTTGGTGCGGGGACGGCTACCAGAGCCGCCCTGCCACACTCACGTTCCACTCGTAGGCTGTCGCGGCGATTCCCGAGGCAGCTCCCGACCCAGCCAGGCCGATGAAGTGGCCACTTCCAACGTTGCTGGCAAACAGGGAGGCGCCCACCTGGAGAAAGAGGGGCAACAGGATCTGGCCCTGGCACAAGGCGTTGTCCTCAGCCTGGTGAGATCACGGGGATGCTGTTCCCCCACTCATGACTGTGCGGGATGTGAAATCCTTGTCCCCCTCTGCCACCTTTTGCCTGCACCTTCAGTGGCTCCGGTACCTCTCTCCAGCTTCTTCCATCGCTCGCTGCCTACCACTCGTTTGAGGACGTGTTCAGGGCCATCCTGCTTCCCAACCAGGGTCTAGTCTCTTGTGGGGGAGCAGGGCAGAAGGTGGAGGTAACAAGGAGAAACGCCAGGTCGTCAGGTTCTTATCTTTGTGCGTACTGACTCACCAGCCCAGCCCACGTGAGACACCCCACCTAACAGACCGGCTCGACGTAAAGCTGTGTGGGTGATGGGGACCACCCAGTTACTGCTGGAAGTCTCCAGCTCAAAGCACGTAGAGCCAGACAGGCTTTGTGAGCCTGCGGGCTGGCTCGCGCAGGGCTGCGGCAGGGGCCCTGCAGCAGCTCCGCTTCCCCAGTCTCAAATATGGAAAAAACCTGCACTATTATAACTGGGCCTTTGCAAAACATGGAGGGCTTTTGGTTGGTTTTATTGGTTTGGGGTTGTTTTTTTTTTGTTGTTGTTGGTTTTTTTTGTTTTCTGTTTGGAAAAAGAGGTTCTGCTTGGAAAGAAGTGCTTTTCAGCCTTGCTGTAGCCTCGGGTAATGATAAAGATACTTACAGGCCACCAAACCATCTGTCCTCCAGCCAGAAAGTAGCCTTTTACAGTGCTGCGCTGCGTCTTCCACATGGACTGGGAAAGCAGAAAAGCAGAACACAGGTTTCGGCAATTATTGCAGTTGCTGCTCAGAGCAGCATCAAGCGATTTCCCCGCTGCCAGCAGAAGAAAGCGAAGGGTTTCTTGGAGGACCTGCAGTTGCTGCTGGGAAATCCTGGGGGACGAGAGAGCAGCAGACGAGGGAAGGGACCGGCCGGTGCTGTAAGCCACCTGCAGTTTTCTATCAGCTCAGCATCCCGATTAAATGTTTTCTGTGATAAGCAAACTAAATCACTCCAGGTGGACAAGGAAAGCAAGCAATTTGGACAAGAACTGCCGACGTCCCCGGTTGTTAAGCACAGCCAGGAGAAATGCTCGGCATTGCACGCACTGCTCATGGACTCCTGTTCCTCGGAGATTTCAGATAGTTTCATGCAATACCATGAGAGTCATGCACCACATTTGGAGGGAGCAACTATTCATCTCTGCCTTAGGACAGCCAGACTGTGCTTTTGCTATTACAAAAACGGTGCCAAAAGGATGTCCTTCTGCCTTAATTATATATAAGCAGTATTTTTAATTTACGGAATCTGCTGTCGAGACCACTGCGGACAAGCACAGGTGATTTATAGGACAGCATTTCCTTCCTGGATAAACAGAACATTATTATAAGCAATACTTTGTACTTAGACACCCTCTTCCTTACAAGGGCCCTCCAAACCTTGGCAAACACTAGAGCTGAACAGCTCTCCTCTGGAGCACTGAGGACGCTTCCCCAGGCTGAACTGAGGAAAAGGACCTGTAAACTCCGTCTTTCCGCTTGTTCAGTTGAATCCAGTGAAGTGCAGCCTGATTTGAGCCAAAGTAAAATAATCTGAGGCCAAAACAGCCACGTTTTTCAGTGTAATAGGGCACAGGTGAAAGCTTTTAACAGTATCTGCTTACCCACAGCCCAACAGCGAGGACAAATATGAAGTACAGCACCAGAACAGCAATGTCTATGGAGTCCAGCGACTTCTGGGGAAACGCTTCCCACGGGGGGGTCACAGGGGAGGGAGTGCTGCTGGTGGTCTCCATGGCTTCTTACGCAGGTCGAGTGCTCCTTTGTCTTGGTGCATATATCTGTTAAAAAAAAAAAAACCAAAAAAAAAAAACCAAAACAAAACGGATTGCATGGTTAGGAAAGGATGTGGCAGCACTGTGAAGGTTTTGGCTGTTTCTTGAATAAATCGGGGTTATCGGCTCTGGCTGCGGTGCTGCTCGTGCCGGGGCTGGGGTGAAGGCTCTTGTGCCTTCGTCCGTGACGCCCGTTCTGTGATGTGAAGATGCTGCCAAGCGGGCAGGCCAGCTGTGGGCTGCTTGGATTTCCTTTGCAGTGGATAATTTCCTAACCGGCAGAGGAATGGCCGCATCAGAGAGGTGCAAACCGCTGGAACAGCCGGAGGAAAGGGCTGGGATGTGATAGAACCAGCGATGGCAGCCCACGGCTCCCAGTGCGGCAGCACTGCGGGACTGGCCTTGACGAGAAACGGCTGCCAGAAACGTGCCCGTGACGAGCTGCCAGGCTGTGAAGACACGTGAACGGCGGCGTTTTCCTCCTTCGCCACAACGAGAGCTGGAGCCCGGGCGCAGAGGGTGCTCGGGATGGGCTGGGGCGGCCTGAAACCGGCACCGAGCGGCGGCGGAGCCGGGGCCGGAGCCGGGGCTCCCTCCTGCTCACCAGCCCGCACAGGCACTTCCTGCAGGTGAGATACTCGTGTGCTTCCCACGGGAATAAAACCTCATTTTCTTCGCCAGAAATGCCCGGTGAGGAGACGTGGGACCCCTGCGAGGGCTCTCCAGGGCACCCGTGGAGCCAGGCTGCCGCCCTTTGGCAGGAGGGGTTAGGATAAAGTCCATGCGAGGAGCTTGGGGAGGTATTTGGAGTAGTGCAGTTCCTCCTCATTTCCTCCCCTCACCTCAGCCCCGCCGTGAGAGCGGGGTGGGAGGCGAGTGGCAGCCGTGCGGTGGCCAAGCCAGGGCCAAGGACCACCTCAGGGTGTCCCTGGCCGTGGGTCACAGGGACCCCCGAGCCCAGCACCTCGCCGCCGCACTCCAGCCACGGAGCAGGTTTGGGGTTATTTCTCTTACCCTGCTGAGCCGAGGAGACGGTTCCTCCGAAGAGGATCAGGGCCAGCGCGCCCCGGCGCTGCCTCGCAGCCGGCTCAGCTCCGGCCCCCAGCCCTGGCGTCACCAGGACGGCTGGTCCTCGTCCTCCTGCCTACGCGCCTGGCCAGGTCCTTTGGCCTCTCTTGGACTTGTAAGGTGACGCTTACAAGCTCCCCCCTGCCAAAAAGGCCGAGGAAGGTGGGGCGAAGGGTGGCCCGCACCAGCCCGGGGCTCCCGGCACCGACAGCCGGACAACAAGCGGTCGAACAAGTTCTTCCTCCGAACTCCCGGCGCGCAGCAAAGCACAGACCGAAACAGCCGCCCTGTCCCACGGTCGCCTGTTTCACAACCTCTGCCGGCTTCAGCCTTTTGCCGATGGGTTGAACCGCAGCTGGAACCTGCCCTTAACTCACCTGGGGCCCGAAGACTTGCCTGAAGTGCAACTGGGCTGCTGGCCGGCACCGCCGGGCACTCAACGCCCAGGCATGAGAACACGGCAGAGGGAATGGAGTCACAAGCGCGGTGGTGACGGAGATGCAGTGATTTCTCCCGCTGGGCAGTATTCAGGAGGACAAGCCCTGCCCTGTGTCCCTGCTACACCCAGTCCTGCAGCACCGGCTCTGCCTGGAGCAGGGCTGCTGGGCTTGTGCATTTATGAAAAGGTCAGGCAATAAATAAGGAGGTTTCCAGTGGCAGGTACCATCCCGTCACCCGCTTTCCACAGCTGGGGGGGGTTGTAGCCTGAGACATCAGCAGCCTCCGGAGCCAAAGGTGGTACAGAGCCATGTTCTGGCTGGGTGGCAGCGCCGGGCTGGGACCGGGGGCTTGCAGCACCTCGGCCGAGCCTTTTCTGTGCCGTATAAATCCCCTGGATCCCGCTGAATTCCTTGGGAGCTTCTGCCTTGCAAGGATACAGGGCACTGATGGTCAGAAGATCAGTGCTATCTTACCTCGTTAAGAGGCAATCTGTCTTGGCTGTTGCTGAGTTTTTTACCGGCATGCTCAACCTCTAACTAGGAAACGAAAAACCGGGTTTGGTGTGCCAGCCTTGGGAAGCTGCTAACCCTGCGCTGACATTTCCTACTTCCTCCTACGCAGCTCTGGCGTTGCTGTTCCTTCTCATCTCATCCCGGGACTCTCCCCGTCGCGGGCCCGCGGCGGGCGGGCAGCACAGCCCGCGCTGTAGGCTGCATATGCTCCCTCTCACTCGGAGAGTCGTGTCTCTCCCTTTGGCGTGCCCGTCAGCAGAGAAAGGAAACGCGGGATCCGCTCCGGGAGAAATCCCCGGAGCAGAGCAGAGGTGCCCGGTTAAAGCTCCTCTCGCAGCTCCCAAGGCCGGGGGCGAGGCTGGGCAGTAGAAAAATGCAGTAAACTCCGTTGCTCTGATTTCAGATCTTAACTCTGCCACGGCCCAGTGGAAATTTTGCCCGTTTTATGAATTCAGCTCACAGCCCGGTCTCCCTCGGTTCCTGGCACAGGCGGCAGCGCTTTCCTCGCCAGAGATTGTGAGGAAGGAACACCCGTGGCATTGAAATGAAGCGGCTGAAGCCAGCCCTTTATCAATGGTGCCGGGAGAGGCGCAGCCCACGTGGGTCTCGAGTAACCCATCGGGAGGACCGTATCGCTCTAAATGCCTCCTCAACGGGATTTTTTAAAGCATTCCCGGGTCCATCCACCTCCTAAAGACACCACCGCTCGCCGGGGCTGAAACGCAGCCCCGACCCCACACACCAACCAGAGCTCCCCGCCTCGAGGTAGAAGCTGAAAGGGAACTTACTGCGCTCAGCTGGGTCTCATTCTGTTCCCTGCGCCGGGCACCACCGAGCCTCTGCCAACTGACAGGCAGCTTAAATATTGCCAGAGAATCGGGATTTGCCAGCGGAGCTGTTAACAGTGTCACAAGGAATGAGAAGGAATATTTATAGTCAAAGTTAAACTAATTGCCCGAAGTTCTCCTTCGGTCTCCCGTGGCTCTGGTGAGAAGTGTATTATTTTCACTATCAGGGCTCATGGGTCAAACTCCACGGAGTGCCATTCTCTTAAGCAACCTGCGCAGCTGGAGAAGGGACAAGTAACAATAAAAAAAATCCGTGCTGCTGTCCTTTCAAGCCGACAGCCCGTGACACAGGGGGGAGCTGACAGCTAGTCCTGTCTCTGCGTTTATGCCTAAGCCTCACAAAGTTCATCCAAGGGCTGGGGTTCACAACTCAGTTCTGAGTCTGTAGGTTAATCCCAGCATCAATCCCCTTCTGGGACCAGGCTGGAGGCTTTGGCTTCAGCATCATCTGCCTGAAAATCTGATAAACCCTTACTGCCAAATAACAGGCAGAGAATGATGCCGAAGAGGAACCTCCCAGCACGGCGAGAGGCCGTGGCAGGAGGCAGCTCTTACATCTCTGAAATCGGGGTGCAGGCAACCCGCTCGCCGGGCGAGAATGGGCACTGCCCCTACACAAGCCTAATCCACGTCCCGCCGGTGGAGTTAGCCACCCGAATTTGAGTGCGTGGCATCCCCTAAGGGCACGTTTCACCGGCGAGGCCTCGGCGGATCCGCGACGCCTGGGTGGAAGGTGCAGCCCAAGGGGAGCAGCCCCCGGGGAGCGCCGGTCCCGCATCGCCGGCCTCCCTGAGCGCAGGTGCTGCTTTTGCCCCTCTCGCCGCTTTTGCCACAGGTTTTGTGGACCTTGCCCCTTCCCTGACAATCTCAGCTGCCAGAACCAGGACTTCAGCTCTCACCTTCACTTCTGAGTTTTCTAGATTGATAATGGAGGCGAGTTAAACAAAACAAACAAACAAAACCAAGCAAAAGGCACCCAGAGCCTAAGCAACCAGAAAGCAACGCAGGAAAAACGTAGGATCTGTGTTTTATCTCATTGTTTCACACTTGGCTCGCATTTCTGATGAACGTAAAGCTCTTGGAATCTTGTGATTGGAGATGCTTGCATTTGATCTGCTAGATTTGAGGAAACCCAGATTTTCCTAAATTGTGTTAGAACAAGGTGGATCCTCAGGGTTTCAAGTTCAGCATCCAGGTGCCTTGTGCTACCTCCCAGCCTATGCCACTTTTTCCCGACTTCCAGCCCTTCCAGGCTGAAGCCGAGATCTCTGTTTATCTCTTTGGCATCTTTCATGGCACCTGGAAAATAATTACAGATTGTGGCCCTTCAAGCCATTATCAAGATACTTAGAGGGAGGGTTCATACGTGGCTCCACTTTGGCTTGGAGATGCCAGCCTGGTACTATTTTACCCCAGCCAGTCCACCAACCGAAGCTGCAATCATGTCCTCACCATGACTTTACTAAAGCTGCTCATTTCCTCTTTGAGGTCTTTCTTTTTTTTTTTTTTTTTTCCCCCCCATTTCTTGCAGAGGAGAGTGAAAATCCTTAAGTAATCTGAGGTTGGGAATGTAACCTGGGATTTTGAGGGTCACTGTTCCCTGTGTGTGTCAGAGGATGGACGTGGCACCCCGTGGAGCAGGAGCCTCGCCACGGCTGCGTTCCGGCCCTGACCCCGGGGCCGCTGCCTGAGTTATTATTTCCTTTTCAGAGACTGGCTTTCCCGTAAAGATGATCCCATGGTCGAGGCTGATTCAGGAATGCTGTTAAGGCTGGGCTGTGCGGGGCTAAGAGGAGAGCATCCAGCCAGTGCGCCGATTCCGGGGGAAAATTACCGAATGTTTGCCGGTCCAAAGAAGGAGCGAAACAAGAAGCTGGTGCGGTGGAAGGTGCCGACTGCCGCCGGTACCGCACGGGAGCGCGGGGACAGCTCGAGATCCCCGGGGCGCGACCGGCCAGGAGGGGTAAAGAAACGCGGGGAGGGGGTCGAGCACTTCAAACGCACGTGCCCAGCCCGGGGCTTCCACCCAGCAGGTTTTTGTTAACTCTGTGCAGAGCCGTTTTACAGTTGCCGGTGCCGTGGCCTCCAGGGAGGACCCAGTGATTGAGCTGCTGTAAACAAGCTAAACTACAACCAGGAAATCTGATACGGAGCCGGTCCCTATCTATCTGCTGTTAGTGTAAAGGGAGATAAATTGCTCCGAGGACATAAACTCAACCTCAGCCAAGAATTCCTTTTCAGAGGGAAACAATTCACTGGCTCACAGGCTCACTGAATGTTTTCTTCTGAAGGCTGCAGGAAAAAATCCGTACTATTTTAAGAATTTGCTGCTCGTGTTCATCGCGCTAGCCTGCATGCTGGCACGCAAGCAGGTCTTTTCACAACCGTGCGGTTATTTATCTCATACCAGCCCAAACCCAGCCAGGTCAGATCCTGCATCTGTCTCCTGTAGGTGTAAGGGGCCAATATTAAGAAGCGCAGTCACAGAAGTGCCAGATGCAGAATTTCTCACACCTTCACCCGCAGCTGTTGTACAAAGCGGTTTTTGACAGAACACAGCGGTACACGCAGTCGGGAGGCAGAAGGCAGTAGCTTTATTTTAGGAATAGCACATAGGCATTGGGTGGAGACTGAAATGTGAATATACATAGTCCCATTATCAAATAATATAACCATATGTCAGAAGTTCTGGTTCTTTGAAAATATTCACATAAAAATACCAAAGGGGTTGGAGTTCTAGCTATTTTGGAAAGTTACAACATGTAGCAAAATCTATGTACAGCATTTTGACATTTGTAATGACAGTTTCAAGAGCACCTCCAGCGGTTTAAATATTGAATATGTTTTTAGGGGAAAAAAAAAAAAAAAAAAAAATCAACTGAATGCAGTGTGCAACATCCAAAATGGAAAGAGGAGCTGAGTGAGCATTGCCCTGTCGCCGAGGCAGAGGCAGCCGGGGCTGGAGCACAACGCTAGAAACTACCTGGCACTTAAAGCTGTATAAACTGAGAACGCTTGTGAAAACATACTTCACTTCCTACAGCAGGGTTTAAAAAAAGTACCGAACCACCAAAGGCTTGATGGTCATAAGGTCTCCCGTAAGTAATGCACGAGTTGGTGGCTCTGTGCGTGGGCAGAGGCTGCGGTCGGAGCTCTGGCTGGGGCAGTGGCCGGGAGGAAGGTTACCTGCGCTACGGCTCGCTGGAGCGCTGCCACGGGGCAGGAGGCCGGAGCGTGTCGGGTTTGAAAGGCAACGGGATGCTTTTTTGCACAGCCTAACGCCTCACGCTAGCCACGCTGCCGCAAAAGCTCTCGGGGCACGGTGGCCGGGGGGGGGGGGGGGGGGGGGCCACGCGCTGAGCACGGGATGCTGCCAGCCCTTCGGCCCCAGGGGACGGCTCCTCGGAGGGGATTCAGTCATCTAAATAGCAATCAGGTGTTGCTGGAAGACGGACGTGGAGGCTTCCAGAGCTCCCTGGGTATATTCAGCGTGAGCGACTGGTCATGCAGTAAAGGGACTGCCAAGACTCCAGCCCTGGGAGTCAATAAAGGAGGGCAGGGGATGTATTTCTCGCCGGTCTGTGCTGTGCCTTGGGGCTGCAGAGGACCCCCACTCATTTTTAGGCTACCAGGGGTCCTGTACTTTCCAGGGAGGCACTAAAATGCTCAGGGATTTCTGTCTCCTGGTAAGTTCAAATAAGCCTAGCGCTGATGATGTTAAAGGCTTGGAAAGACTTCAAGACCCGTCAGTCTCTGCCACACCTGAGCAAAGCTGACGGCCAGGGAGGACTCTGGGCTTCCCTTCCTCTCCAGCTCAGCTGGGTAAAACCAGACTGGAGCCCTATTTGGGACCACACGGACGTGCCAGAAGGGTTCTGCAAGGTCGTGTTGCTTCCCATTGCCACTGGCCAGCAAGGGGGGATTAAAGCCTCCAGGCCACGGCCGGCCATCTCCCCCCAGCTGTGACGGCCCATCCAGGTGGAGCTCCAGCCCCTCCGTGCGCTGCTCAAGGGCAGAAGGGCCTGGGGATGGGGTGGAGAGGAGCTCAGCAGCATTGCTTCTCGCGGTCCCAGGGGAGCAGGCGCTGGTGGCATCCCTCTTCCTCGTCCCCCCCCTCTCTGCTCCCGTCCCCACCGGAGCTGCTCTGGCTCCCCAGGGAGCTGTGGCTGGGCTCTGTCCCCAGCCCCAAGGCTGGCAGGGATGAGCAGCGCCTGCCCGGGAAAGCTCTGCCCTGGGAGGGCAGACTCCTTGCACAGCCGTGCTCGGGCACCGGCCGTGGGGACGTGGGGAAGGTCTCCAGCCACTGCTGGGGCCGGTTATACGTGTTCTGGAAATGTGGGAAAGCGGGGTTTTAGCCAGATGCATCTGAAATCCTTGACTCGGTAATATGCTGGGAAGGGAGGATGCTAAGAAAGCTGTTGTCAAGACCAGCGCGGCGTTCGCCTTCACGTCCCTGTGCCTCACCCTCGCATCCACCCACTGTCACCCGTGGTGCCTTTTCAGTGTCCAGACTGCCCCGACCCCTCGGTCCGCCGTTCTGCTTGGTGGTGGCAGGTGACAGCAGCGTATTTACAACCAAACTCAACAGGAGCAAATTGCACTTTGTTGGCAATAAGTTGTTGCACCTCGCGTTGCTGCAGGCCCGTCACCAGGCAAGGGGGGAGGTCATCCTGGGGCTGCGCTGGCTCTCGCCGACCTGCACGTCGCTGAGTGCCCGCTGCAGGGAGAGAGCAAAGGGCAGGAGCTGAGGATCAGGCCCGGGCAGCTGGTGTGGCCAGGGAGATGTTTCAGTGGTACTGGCCACTACAGACTAAATTGGGGTGCTCCGACCCAGCCTGCGTTAGCCAAGAACGCCAGACCGTGACAACATCTGCTTTACCCTCCGTGGGGCTGGTGTTTGGACCATCAACCCTCACCTC